CCACGTCAGGAACACCTGGTCTTGGCTCAGCTGTAACGTTCCATGTAACGTGTCCTGACTCGGCACTTGGAAGCGAGTCCACGTCAGGAACACCTGGTCTTGGCTCAGCTGTAACGTTCCATGTAACGTGTCCTGACTCGGCACTTGAAGGCGAGTCCACGTCAGAAACACAAGGTAATGTAAAGGCGGAAGCGTTTCTCTGTCCCGATACAGAACTTCCCAGTGACTTCACCACTGTAGAACCTTGTATTGGGTCGACAATGACGCCAATATAACTTTCTTTCTCTCTCGCAGATAAAGTTGTCCAATGTTTTGCGATTCTAAAACATAGGAAATGTAATATCTACAATTCTAGCATATCAGGAATTATATATAATCGATTTAATCCAGCCGACTAACCTATCTGACAATGTAAGTGAAGCTATACGTCGGATGGAACACAGGGATAATGCGTTAGATATATAAATAATTCTACATTTGTTCGCCGAATTGTATTTTATTGTATACGTGGATACTACATCGGATTGTATTTTACTGTATACGTGGATACTACATCGGATTGTATTTTACTGTATACGTGGATACTACATCAGATTGCATTTTACTGTATACGTGGATACTACATCGGATTGTATTTTACTGTATACGTGGATACTACATCAGATTGTATTTTACTGTATATGTGGATACTACATCGGATTGTATTTTACTGTATACGTGAATACTACATCTGATTGTATTTTACTGTATACGTGGATACTACATCGGATTGTATTTTACTGTATACGTGGATACTACATCAGATTGTATTTTACTGTATACGTGGATACTACATCAGATTGTATTTTACTGTATACGTGGATACTACATCGGATTGTATTTTACTGTATATGTGGATACTACATCGGATTGTATTTTACTGTATACGTGGATACTACATCAGATTGCATTTTACTGTATACGTGAATACTACATCGGATTGTATTTTACTGTATACGTGGATACTACATCGGATTGTATTTTACTGTATACGTGGATACTACATCGGATTGTATTTTACTGTATACGTGGATACTACATCGGATTGTATTTTACTGTATACGTGGATACTACATCGGATTGTATTTTACTGTATACGTGGATACTACATCGGATTGTATTTTACTGTATACGTGGATACTACATCGGATTGCATTTTACTGTATACGTGGATACTACATCAGATTGTATTTTACTGTATACGTGGATACTACATCGGATTGTATTTTACTGTATACGTGAATACTACATCGGATTGTATGCTAGATTATTATACTGTCATGTATAAAATTAATGAAGCATTCGTTTGTTTTCACATTTTCTCTCATTTCCAGATACATTGCAGACAATTATCACTTGATAAATGATTTTCATATCTATTTCCTCTGTGATATTACATATGTACTTATAAGTGAATGTTGAGGAGATGATTCCCTCCCGCAGGAAAAAAAAGTGCAAATTCCTTCATTCTGTAGATCAGAGACGTATATATCGTCTCTGTGTAGATATAAGAATGATTTACCGTCTCGTGATCTCGTAGAAAGGCTCCTTTGGATACTTAGATTTGTAATAAGGTCGGACTTGTTTCGTAAAGTTTACGAAGGCGTTAATGCAATTTCGAATTCTATTTCCATTCTTGAATTCTGAAATAACAAGAAAATGAATAAGTCAGTCTGTAAGTAGGATGAACATATATACAATATTGATAATTGGTAACATGACACCTGTAAATCGAGATTCCATAATACACAATAGTAACCGATAAACGATACATGTGACTGACACATCATTACATATATAATGACAACTGTCACAATAATTCACCATATCATCTTGTGAGCTTGGACATTTGTAAAATAAATAGATAAATGAATAACAGAGAATAAAATCAAGTGTTCTGTAAGGGTGATGCACTTCTGCCTCTATATCATTCGAAGTAAGTGTAAGAGAACCATGTACATATTGAGAGTACGGCTAGTCGAGCGGTAGTGTCCGGCTGAGATCGATTGGGCCTAGAACCTCTGCATGGAAGGGTATCTTTCATTACTCCTTCCTATATCAGAACCAACCCGAAGTGGACGACGCCATTTTGAATTTGTGTGTGTACCTTACTTTATGGTCACGTGGATTCTACGCATTGAGAACCTAGATTGATGTTGTATTCGGTCGGAGACTTTGTGAAGGAGCGAGTAGTGTAGAAGTTGAGAACACAGGATGCATTACTAGTACTGGGTAGTGAGGTTTCCCTTTAGTCGAGCGATAGAGTGTTCAGATGGAGTCTAAAGGGTCGCTAGTTCGAACCCCAACAGTGGCAGGATGTGCTTCATTAGTTCTAAGTATTACACGTAGATACAGGCATACTATAACAACCATCGACCACATCTGACTTCTTACCGCAAGAGATCATGATGGCGGCCATACCATAGTCAAACTAAAAAACGGTTGCCAAATACAACCGGAACCTGACTTCTATCATTATCACAAATACATTACTTTTGATATTACCAATTCTTCTTCCATTGCAGTTAGACGGCTCCGGTTCATTATCATCAACAAAAATATCTGGGGATTCATTCCAGATCCGTAGATCTTTAGTGTCATTCGCACAGGTATTTGGTGGAGATGACAGCTCCATATTTAACTAGACATAGGCTCCTTCATCACCGTCGCAAAATAGTCATATAAACCATTTAATGAACGTGAACGAAATCCGCTGGTTCAAACTTAATCGTGACGATGCGATGACATCATAATACGCGTCACATCTTCGTTAATGACGTCACAAGTAACAAAATGTCAAAACACTCTGAAAATCTTCACAATTTCAAATTCTACGTTTTTTCTTCTTTTTTTTTCATTTAATTACCTTAGATATATGTGTGTAATCTGATGTGGATGTAACAGTATCTTTTATCACTGATAGTAAATCATTTCATGGCCTCAGACGCATCCTCGATACCCCAGGGGTTACAATCACATTCGCTCTCTGCACCCCCGGAACATGTAATCGCAAAATCGAAGGCGCAAGCAAAATAATTTGATTAGTTACAGAAGAAAAAAACTTACCAACCATAGGCTTATATGTCTACGCTCTTTTTGAAGATTACAAAGGAGCGACATCCGACTTCTAGCCATTACAATATAGCGTTATGCGACCTCGAGATTCGTTTGATGTGCATCAAAGGATCAAACTAGTCTTTTTGTCTTGTTTAAAAGGGGTCGCACATTGAACCTTTATTTTTGCCATGACGCGTTACAGGATATGTATATATTGTATATGTGTAATAGAAATTAGGATTGTAATGTATTGGTTATCTGTCCTGTTTATTATACGCCGCCGGGGGCGGTCGTATATTGGCGTCATCTTCTCCGTCCGTCCGTCCGTACGTCCATTTCTCGTGAACGCAACTCCTCCTAAACTAATTATCAGATTTTCATGAAACTTGTTCAATGTCACTACTACAATGGGTAGATGTGCATGAAGGGGCGATTTTTGGTTCGTTGATTTTTGTAAGATTTATGCCATTTTCAACTTTGTATCTGTAGCTTGCTCATAGTGGAGCCTTGTGAACGCAACTCCTCCTAAAATAATGATCATATTTTCACGAAACTTGCTCAATGTCACTACTACCATGGTTCGATGTGCATGAAGGGGTGATTTTACGGTTCATTGATTTCTGTAAGATGACATTTTCAACTTTTTCTCTGTTGCTGATTTTGTGGCAGCCATTGCCATTTTTCTGTTCGGCCATTTTGATAGAGATTCGAACAATCTGCCAACATCTCATATGCACTGGAATTTTGGGGATAAACAGATCTGCAACTTGGATGACTGCTGGTCCTTGTCTCTTCCAGCTAAGCGAACTGGTCTTACAGACTTCATTTTGAGCTGATGTATACAGACATGTTAAAAGCGATAATTAAAAGGACCAATCTTGATCTTTATATTTGGTGGCGTATATTGTGTCCACGGCACTCTTGTGTTTTATGTTTTACTTACTTAGTCTTACTTAGTCTTACTTAGTCGATTCTGAATGTAGTCCTTCTTAGGCCTCTATACTCAGATCCAGATTTTGTCTCAATAAAGTAAAGTATTCATATAGTCACTCCTGGTTGATGTACTGCTTTGGTGATTGTCAACATTGTACTTTCTGTCCTCTAGTTCCCAGAATTTGTCCAATCTGTTTTCAAAGGTGGTCAGTGTCGGTGATCTCACAATCTTTTCCGGTAATGCATTCCAGTTACTCACTACTCTCTGTGTGAATGAATATTTTCGAATGTCTAGTCTGCTTCTTGATTTCTCCAGTGATAGTGAGTTCCCTCGTGTGCGTTTTGTCTTGTTAACTCTCAGTATATGTGTACATTTACGGTTATATGTAAATGCGACAAATGGCACTATAATAAAAATAATCATTGCGTTGTATTTACAGTTTCTGAAGTTCCTTCCTCACCCTCCCATACACACAACGAAAAGTCATCAAACTGTTATAAAATGCCCTGCCATGCTGTGTACATAGATGGACACGTTCTGATAAATAGTGTTGATCATGGACAAGTTATTGAAATATCAGCCACCGATTCGATATGAGTTATTATTATTATTATTATTGTAGTAAACATATATCAAACTAGTTTGAACAGATACATATGTCCGTATTGGCTAGTCTACAATAAGGTTCTGGTTTGAGTTGTTTTGGCTACTGCTGCAAACTTGTATAAACAAAAAACGTGTTTTGACATGAGATAGATCACAACTTGACTATCTGTACAACGTGTATGTAAATACAAGTACCTGACTCCAGGACATATATATTACACGTCATTAAACTTTGTATTTGGTCTGTTTCAAATACACTACGCATATTAATTTATCTAGTTATTTATCTATATATTTATCGTTGGTTTTCCTGGACTTTTGAATTGTTGTTGTTTCTTATTTTACTGTTGACTTCGAAAACAAAATGGCGGCCTCCATTGGAAGTCTCACCGGCAAAGTGGCTCTTATAACAGGTATGACCAATTAACAATAAGACATGCCTCTGTCTTATGACGCAATCGCGCAAAATTACTTATACATCATTTTCCATGTTTAGTCAGCCATTTCGATAATGTTTGAAAAGATTTAAATCAATTTTATTGTTTAGTCATACATTTGAAGGACGTTATTTTGTTGAAAAAGCATAGTTAACTTCATGTTGACTGCTTATAGCATATATTTGCATTTTATATTTAAAAAAATGGCTTAACACGACCGATTTTAGGGCGAGGATATGAAAGATTAACAATGTCCAGAATTATCCGTTGAATAATTATCTTTTTGTATACAATATGTATTAAAGAATCACTTGTAACTTGAAAGCCATTATGACAGAAGTTCTTTTAATTCATATATGTATACATGTACATGATCTGTGTTTGCAAGATATAGATTAGGTGCTGCAAGACATCAGAATCATGCTGGAAGAAGATGAAATTTGTCAAAGAACTGGATCTGTAAAAATAGATCTTAAATATAGTTTCTTAAAAGAGATTAAATTATTTTACAATATATATATATACATGTTCACTTTACATTGCAGGCTATTTAATCTTGTATCAAATGTATATATACATGTCTAACCTTTCGCTAAAATAAATGTCTCTGAGAGTGCCATATAATTGGGAGTTATTTACACATTGACCTTAATTATAAGCACTCCTTATACACAAAGAACAATAAAATTTTCTGTACATGTAGCAACATGTACATATGATACTCAAACGTCGAACTGGTTGTGTATCTTAAAATCTTAAAGTAATGGAATTTCTGAGGATTTGGAATAAGAGGTCCTCTCAAATGTTATTTAGGACTGTAAAGACTCCTACAGTTTCAAGACGAACTGGCTGTTGCCAATACATGTGTATTGATATTATGTACCACGACATTGGTGTTCGGTACCTGTCTCACTTGTCAGATATAAAAGACAGGGAAAACATAGCATCTAAAAATTTTCATTTTCTTACTATAAAGGTGCCAGTTCAGGTATCGGGGCAGCCACTGCTGTTTTATTCTCAAAACTTGGTGCCAGATTAGCCCTTACAGGACGAAAAGAAGACAATCTCCAGAAAGTTGGACAGAATTGTTCTGAGGGTAATAGAGAAAAGGTAAGTTCATTGACCAAAATTCAATGCAGGAAAATGTTCAGCTGACTTCAATTAAAATATTGTTCGAGAAAACATCAATTTTTAGTAGTAGCTAACTGATAATTGTCAGGCAAAGAAAAAAGTTAATCATGTTCAACTTTTCTACACAAAATTCTAATATTTGATGTTACTTGATATTAACTGAACTGTATCAGAAAATAGGAATTCAAAAATGTTTGCATGAACATATAATCACAGTCAAATTACCAGAACACATTTACAATCTGTTGAAAGATGTGGGTGAGAAAATTCATAAAAACAAAATCCTGATTTTTTAATTCAGGTATGAAACAATGTGTTATTACTGAAACAATTACATTACATTATCTTATCAAATTGACTTCCGATGATACATGTATATCTGTTTGTAATTTAAAATCTTGCATGCACTTTTAACTTGATTTACTTTTAAAACTGTATCAAAGTTCAACTGTTTCAAATTTTTGAAAGATATGCAATGAACAGTACCATGAAAATAATTGATGTAATTTTCTTGTGTTTATTTACATTTGAATAAATTTGACATAGAACAACTTTTGGAGGAAATATGTACAAGTTTGAACCTAAAACTTTGTAACAGCTACTGTATTTACAATAGTCAGTTCAGATTTGTCCTATTAACTTTTAATGGATTATTTTTGATAATTTCAGCCCTTCTTAGTGCCTGGAGATCTTGGAAAAGAAGAGGATGTTAAAACTATTTTTGATAAAACTGTGGAACATTATGGAAAGCTTAACATTTTGGTATGTAAAGAGTCGGAAACATCCTTTTTAGTTGCTTTATCCTGAGAAAATACTTGAACAATTTAAAGTTTTACTTAAGATTAAAAAAATCACTACATTTCCTTAATCATTAAATTCAGGACATCATTGGGAGGAAAAAAAAATAGTATTGTACATAACTTAACACTTATTACAATACACCTAAGTACATTTGTAAATGTCTTTTACAAAACAAAGTTTTAACTGTCAACTGTAAAGTTTTTAACACCGATCAATGGGAAAAACGCTTGACATATTAATCATCTATTAATGTGTAAAAAATGAAGCATTTCCCAAATATTTTCTGATATTGATGATATCTGATAAAGTGAGATATAAAATGAATGTTTTAACTGCACCAGGTCAACTGTGCAGGGATAATTGAGTTAGGAAGTATTGAGTCAACATCCCTTCAACAGTACGATAAGCTCTTCAATGTAAATGTAAGGTGAGTACAATATTTTGTTACCTTAGGGTATTCTGAAAACTTTTACTCGTGGATACTAAGGTTTTTTCCGTGATCAGCCTCTCTCTGGATTTGTAGAACTTGGATATTGATATAGTCATGGAATCCAGTGAAATTGATAAAAATACTACACCTGAATCTCGATACATTAATCATGATATATTAATGACCCTTTGGTTGGGGATGCTAAGTCAGAATAAAGACTGTAAGTCACCATCTTTTGACTCTAACTACAATAAATCACACTCTAATAGCTGTTTCAGAATGATGTCCAATTGGCTTTCTGTTCACATCATCATCTCTTTGTTATTCTTTATCACAAGAAAACGAAAAGCAAAGTTTGAAAACAAAGTGTTGTAGAGTTGGGGATTATTTACCAGCAATAAATTAGACCAGTTGTCTCCCTTATATTGTGCATTACTTAACAAAATTTAGGTTGCTTTTGCATGAGTTGATGAAATGGCTTGACTGGGGCTGAACCTGCTTCTATGAGGCTGGTAATCTCCCTTTTGTTGCTCAACAGGTGAACCAAATGAAATTTGATTTTCTATTTTAAACAGATCTGTATATTACCTGACCATGCTTGCTGTACCTCACCTGATCAAATCTCAGGGAAATATTGTGAATGTGTCCAGTGTTAATGGTATACGATCTGTAAGTACCCTGTATTCCAGCTGTAAACCCAACATCAAAGACTTTAATTTCCACTATCTATTATTTATCCTTTAGCCTTTCTTAAATTTATCCATGCGATATTTTGACATGAAAAGAACACTTGTAATAACATTCAGTTTTCTGTCCTTCAGTCATTCTGCTTTTGAAATTTTTCAAAGCTTACTGTATCAATATCATTTCAGTTTCCAAATGTACTGGCTTACAACATGTCAAAGACAGCTCTGGATCAATTTACACGCTGTGTTGCTCTAGGTAACATTGTTATCATTCCAAATATGGTGAAAGAGTCCAGATATTTTATTGTTTGTATAATGAATTGATAAGGCAGGGAGACATACCTCTAACTCTCGGTGACATACTTAAATGATATTTAACCCTAGAGATATACCTGTACCTATCTGTGACATACTAAATGATATTTAACCTTAGTGGTATACATGTACCTATCTGTGACATACTTAAATGATATTTAAATTTAGAGATAAAAATGTACCTATCTGTGACATACTTAAATGATATTTAAACTTAGAGATATACATGTACCTATCTGTGACATACTTAAATGATATTTAAACTTAGAGATAAAAATGTACCTATCTGTGACATACTAAATGATATTTAACCTTAGAGACATACATGTACCTATCTGTGACATACTAAATGATATTTAACCTTAGAGACATACATGTACCTATCTGTGACATACTAAATGATATTTAACCCTAGAGACATACATGTACCTATCTGTGACATACTAAATGATATTTAACCTTAGAGACATACATGTACCTATCTGTGACATACTTAATGATATTTAACCTTAGAGACATACATATACCTATCTGTGACATACTAAATGATATTTAAACTTAGAGATATACATGTACCTATCTGTGACATACTTAAATGATATTTAACCTTAGAGACATACATATACCTATCTGTGACATACTAAATGATATTTAAACTTAGAGACATACATATACCTATCTGTGACATACTAAATGATATTTAAACTTAGAGATATACATGTACCTATCTGTGACATACATATACCTATCTGTGACATACTAAATGATATTTAAACTTAGAGACATACATGTACCTATCTGTGACATACTAAATGATATTTAACCTTAGAGACATACATGTACCTATCTGTGACATAATAAATGATATTTAACCCTATAGACATACATGTACCTATCTGTGACATACTAAATGATATTTAACCTTAGAGACATACATGTACCTATCTATGACATACTAAATGATATTTAACCCTAGAGACATACATGTACCTATCTGTGACATACTAAATGATATTTAACCTTAGAGACATACATGTACCTATCTGTGACATACTTAATGATATTTAACCTTAGAGACATACATATACCTATCTGTGACATACTAAATGATATTTAAACTTAGAGATATACATGTACCTATCTGTGACATACTTAAATGATATTTAACCCTATAGACATACATGTACCTATCTGTGACATACTTAAATGATATTTAACCTTAGAGACATACATATACCTATCTGTGACATACTAAATGATATTTAAACTTAGAGATATACATTTACTATTTGTGACATACTAAATGATAATTACATAAAAAAAATTGTGTGAGTGCACAGAACATGTAGTAGTGCTCAGCTGTAATGATAAGCTGATGATGTTAGCTGTATCATTTTCTTAATAACTTTTAGTTTCGTATGATTTCTATTGATGTTAAATAGTTGTACATTGATATGTTCCAGAACTTGCTCCGAAACAAGTCAGAGTGAACAGTGTCAAGTAAGTTTGCAGACATATTCATCATCACCATGGTGATCTATTAAAAGTAAATATGTAAGTTAATTAAATTATTCAAAATTGTGTTTGGTAAGACATCTGTCAGATTTTTGATCCAGTGGCCAATTAGGTATCGACCAGTGGTCGATAGATGTCAATAAGGTAATTACACTGGTCTCATTCTGGCAGATGAATTATCATCAAATATTAGACTTGTGTCTAACTGAACATAATTTTGATAATTTAATTAACTTATATATTAACTTTTAATAGTTCATTGTGTATGTTAAGATAGTATAGTATAAATTCAGGTAATGTTTCATCACTACAGCTATAATGTTACTTTGACTGTTTTGACTTAACATTTTCTTGGCTGCATCAATTGGATTATTTTAATCTTTCAGTCCTGGTGTCGTAATCACAGAGTTACAGAAGAGAGGTGGCCTAGATGAGGAGGCTTATGCTAAGGTAAGGTCAAGGTCTTATAGGTCAGAACATTGAATCCTCCTTGTCAACGATCTAGGAATTAAACTAAATCATAGCAGTTCTATACCTGAATACAAGTGTACTGGCATCTCATGTTAATGTTTCTTCTTTTTGTTAAGATAGTTACCTTTGCTGGTAAAATCACTAATATTGCAATTGTCATAAGAAATGCCATGACAGCCATTGCTTAGGTCACAACTGCCATCACATTAATCATGACAACCATCGCTAAGGTCACAGGTCACAACTGCCATCACTTTAATCATGACTCTCATTGCTTAGGTCACAACTGCCATCACTTTAATCATGACTGTCATTGCTTAGGTCACAGGTCACGACTGTCATCACTTTAATCGTGACTGTCATCGCTAAGGTCACAACTGCCATCACTTTAATCATGACAGCCATCGCTAAGGTCACAGGTCACAACTGCCATCACTTTAATCATGACTGTCATTGCTTAGGTCACAACTGCCATCACTTTAATCATGACTGTCATTGCTTAGGTCATGACTGCAGTCACAAAGGTCGCAGCTGTCATCACTTAGGTTGTATATTTGACAAATAAATTGCTAGTCAAACTATACACTAAATATACATAATTTTTTGACACATGAATTGCCAGTCAGTATATTTTATTTTATGAAATTTTTGATGCAGAAACTGCAAGAAGCTATATTTAATTCTTTTAAATGATAATGTTATCCATTACTCAGAACGACAGTTGTTACAAACAAATAATCTGTTGATACCATCTTTTGAGTTCAACATATCCTTATTGAATAAAGAAAACTGTCAATTAGATGAAATATTTCTACCACAGGCGTCTGATTTAGGATCGGTTTATATCAAGCTTTGTGGTACTCAAGTATATCTATCTCATATTTACATTGCTAACATAAACATGACACAATTCTTTGGCAGCTTGCCTGAACATGGTTTGATTTATATTGTGTAAATGTTACATCAGCAGTGTATACAGATGTAAAGGTATTTTGGACAGACTTCAAAACAAATATTACATACTTATATTTACCTTACAGTTCCTTGAGCGATCACGGGAGACCCATGCTATGGGAAGGCCAGGTCAGCCAGAGGAAGTGGCAAATGCCATAGCATTCCTTGCCTCAGACAACTCCTCTTTTGTGACAGGTGCCTCCATTCCTGTGGATGGGGGTCGGCACGCCATGTGTCCACGGTGATCTGGTCCCCTGTGCAGGACACAGTACCAATGTCATACTCATCAGATGTGATAGACCGACAGAAATGTCTGTGGTAGAGGACACTGTTTCTTAGCTTTATTTTATAGGATTCAGGGACTCTAAGATTGCTCTCACTCGGATCTTGCCACTTTAGGTTGATTTAAATGATAAAATTAAACAAATTGTTTTGTAATAAATATTTGTCAGTTTTGTAGACCAGAACTGAGTGTAAGTTAATACTCAATGTGGAGAAATAATGTACAATATTCCTAGTTCTTCTGATGGTATGTTGAATGCTGTATGTACAGTGTTGATTTATGATTGAGAATGAGAATACAATATAAAATTGTTGGGAAAATCATTGACTATCTCTCTGTTGGTTTGAATTATTGGTACTGTAATCTCAGTATCATTATTTGATGTTGTCATAAAAACTTTTAAATAAAAATAAGAATGATTTTATCCAGATATGTTACAACTGAAACCATGATAAAGTTAGGCACTAATGTCTTATATCCGGTGCATGCTGTTTTTTGTTGTTGTTTTTGTTTTGTAAACATTTATATATACCGGTTAGTATAAAGGTAAAATGGTCATCGGTGATTTGACCAATGGAAGCTAGCCAATACCAAATTTTATGCAAAACAATAAAGCTTGGTGGAAGAAGGGGGTTAGGAAATGGGCATTGAAGCTTTTCAGATTGCGGGAGTGTTATGCAGGGATTCACCTAACTTTGGTAAAATGGACGGTTCGACGCTAGTTTGATCAATCTCGTATGAAATAGAAACCTACCCGACAGTGGTGAAAAAAACTTTAATATACTGATATAAGACCTTTCAAATTTGCGATATTCGTTATAAGGCACAAATTACATTATGACGACATCAGATTTCGACGTCGCATTTGAAAGGATGGAAACCTTCCGAAATTTGTGTAGTCTAGATCTTTTGATCAGTAAAAGGTAGTCTATTTTGTATATTGTTGGTACCTACCTGATGATATACGTGAAACGTTTCTTAAGTAGGTCATCCAATATGTATATCCAGTATATATTATTTGTAGATAAATTCTATATCTAACAAAATAATTTCCAGTTCTCGGTAGGGGTCAAAGTTAAAAACTGATCAGGGACACACAAGGCGGTCTTTGTCGCGTGCTAATCTTAATCTTTTAGAGGTAGATCTTGCTAACTTTCTGCAGAGGTTTGTGACTATGGATGAAAAGTCTAAACAATGGAGACACCCTAGTTAACCCCATAAGCTGGAAAGGTTATTGCCTCAGTATTCTAGGATGCTGATGGCATTCTGATGGTAGATTATCTGCAAAAGAGACGAATAATCAATGACACATATTATGCATCACTTCTTACGCAGTTAAGAGAAAAAAATAAACTCAAGCGCCGCGGAAAACTCGGTAAAAGTCTGTTGTTCCACCAGAACAATGCCCCTGTTCACAAGTCTGTCATTGCTATGGCTGCCATTAACGACTGAGACTTTGGATTGATCAAGCATCCACATTATTTGCCTGATCTGGCTCCAACACACTTTAATTTATTTCCAAAATCGAAAAAGGCCATTCCCAGTTCCCACTTTCGGTCAGAGGATGGCGTCATTCATGCAGTGGAGGAGTTTGTGAATAGTCAAGAAAGGGAATCCCCTAAAAGTGGCAACGTAGCCCCTGAACATCGCTGACAAATTTGTGTAAATACTGAAGGGGATTATGTTGAAAAGTAATGCATCCGCCAAAATAAAACCCTTATATATGAGGCTCACAACTTATCAATGAGTCCGCGTAAATGGAGAAGTATACATCAATTTACCGACTGCTCCGTTGAATTTATAGTCTCATAAACCACACAATTGCTCATACTTAAATCTACAATAGTATTTCCTTGTGTAATCTACGTTTCAAATTATTTCGATTTAATCCACACAAACTGGATATTTACAGATGCCTCTGACTTGGAACTTATTGAACGCGCGACAACAAAGAAAAGTGTTCAAGTCATTTAAAGTCAGTAAATACAATGATTATAGTATGACACACAGGAATACACTAATATACCATCACAAAGTAGCCGCTTGGTCAAAATTGAGCTGCGAGGTCACATGACACTGACGATACTGGTATCACGGCCGGGAAGATCTCCCTTGCTAAGCAATACGATGTAGGTCTTCCTAAGTTTTCTACACGAACGCATGTGGAAGTGAAATTTGTCAACGTAAACATATACGAGAAATAATTTCCTGTCCTTACAAAACGATCAGTGCATGAATCACACAATGTCTATATGTATTAGGGTTATTTATCAACTGAATACTACACAAATTGATATAAAGCCTGATATGTAGGTCTCTGTTCTTGTGAACGACGACGAGATGTGAACATGTATACGTATTATCTAACCCTGAGATCATCTTGTGAACGACGACGAGATGTGAACATGTATACGTATTATCTAACCCTGCGATCATCTTGTGAACGACGACGAGATGTGAACATGTATACATATTATCTAAACCTGCGATCATCTTGTGAACGACGACGAGATGTGAACATGTATAAGATAAGATAAGATAAGTTTATTTCCGGTTCAGGACGTGCTTGAGTCCTCTATACCAGACTCAATAATACATGTTATAGTTTCAAGATACTATAATAAATAAATTAAATTAATACGTGCCTCTCATTAGCAATGTTTCTTATACAATTAATTCAATAATAGTTAAGTTATTTCAGCTCTGTAGTTGAAGAAAAGTTCATGATTCCTCCAGTAACGGTCTAACTCATTTTTAAACATATTGATAGTTTTTGCAGTAACAATATGGTCCGGTAGATTGTTCCAGATTGATGCTGATCTTACGGAGAAAAAGTTCTTGCGTAGTCGAGTTGTAGCTCGCTTTGGAAATTTTTTTTAAGAGTTGACTCGCCGACTGTGTCGTTGCGCAGCCTCATCCCATAATTGGACTGAGTTACAGCATTCCCGATCATACAAGTATAAGTGTATGAAACGACAAATATTTGTAAATTTCATGATAACCGTTTTTGTGTGATCAACCGTTTCGCTGTAGATATAAATAGATTTCCTCTTGCTATATACACATACTATATAAAGGAGAAGATCATTGGGATTTATGCAGTCGTATGGTATGTATCAGTAGAATGTTAGTAGCACACAAATGTGAATGTGTAACTGGTATTTCAATTATGTGGAAGTGCTGTGTCATCACTATTTATAACTATTCCTATAGGAAGGCGAGGCCGATCCTTAGTATTCACGGAATGTTATTTTTTGTAGTTTTTTTCTATATTGACATTTTGATTTGTTGGTAGTTCGTTGTTAGTTTATACTTAATTGTGTTTAATTATGTACAATTTTTGTACTTTCTATCACTAGTGTTTTAGGGACATGCTTGTATTCATTCTTATTGAATTGTTACATGTATGATGTTCATCTAGTAATCAGTATAAATTCTTTCTGTGATTATCGTGGCTATGTATTAGCAGAGAACAATATGAAAAAGACTCCAAACATAGTGTTTGATGACATGTTGAAAATGATCTGAGTTTTAAGATTACCCTATTTTTGGTGTTTTGCCCATTTGAACTAGATTTTATTTTATTTTAAAAATTTTTCAAGCTTATTCTGTAAAGTGGTGTTATATCAAGTATGCCATATATTTATTTATCTCTTAAGAGTTCGGACGTTACTGACTGGAAATTTCCTTTGATCTATTTTTATCCATCGTACGATACACGGAAAACCCACTCTTAAAATTTTTATCATTGATAAGCTGTTATCTCTGTCTAAAACTGAAAATTTTCATAATTTATATTATTAAATAGGTTGTATGAAGTGGGTTTGTTATGAATATTTAAATACAGTCATGTACTAATGGGTGTGTTTCATTTAACGCGGAAATTTTGATTGTTACTAGAAATCGTTTTGAATTAAATAAAAATAGAAAGTATACTAAATGCATTTTTAAGATTCAAATGACAAAATACCAAGAGCCTTGACTATTTTTTATGTTAAAGAAATGTCACTAGTATATGAGATATAAATATGAAATGTTGTTAAAAAAATCAAGAAAATACCAACAGTGCGACATAATCATAATTCAAACTAAAATTCCATAAATTAGGGCAAAATATTAACAAAAGAAAGATTTACTCGGAGACTTCTGATAAAGTACAATTAAAATTTGACCAAGTGTTCCAGAAGAGTAAGCGTCTTCTGCTTCATCGGCGACAAGCGCCATGTAAACCTTGGTCAATCCAAGTAAGTAATGTCACGTTCTCAAATGAGAACAAGGAAGGCAACAACGGAACCAACAGACAGACTAACGGGTTTTGAAATATGTTCAGCTTCATGTCACATCTATTTCACTAATGCTGCAACACTCTTACATTTTAATTTTTTAAAATTAAACTTAATTAAACAATCTATGATATCATTTACTCTCTCTATGGCAGAGGTCACACACTAACGTAACGTCATTCTTTGTTTACACTCAACACGTTCACACCTTTCTCATTGTTTAGTTTTTAGATGTTATTGTATTTATTTAATCTTGTCATACATTCGTAACATTCAGGTAATATCAGGTTCAACACGCATTCACAAACATTCTTCCACATCAACACGCATTCACAAACATTCTTCCACATCAACACGCATTCACATACATTCTTCCACATCAACACGCATTCACATACATTCTTCCACATCAACACGCATTCTCATACATTCTTCCACATCAACACGCATTCACATACATTCTTCCACATCAACACGCATTCACATACATTCATTCTTCCATATCAACACGCATTCGACCGATTCTTATCGGTGTGTTCCACATATTGATCACTCACTTCCAACTCACTGCGTTTGTAAATATTTATTTAAACAGGACGATATGCAGATAAAACCAATTATTTAAAAATAACCAATAATAAAACAACTCACATCTTATAACAAGAATTTGTCAAGGTTTCACACGGGTCAGCTCTAGGCATACGATCATACAACACGCACTACATGCACTGCATGTCTCTGGTGTTTTTTTCACTAGAACGTAAGCAGCGGATTCTGAACAAAACTGTACAGTTAATACCCGTTGTATTCACGTAGATCAACACAATTGTTAGAATAGACATTTCAATCTATCATTAAAAGGATAGTATTTCTTAATTTTTTTCCAATGCATGTTGTACAGTTTTGTGTAGATGTATTTTGTCTGAAAACTAGATCATGTTTTGTAAAGTTTTGCGAACAAATATGAATATTTCCGCTTTACCTCAAATAACAATTAGGAAGTGACCTGTATTCACTAGAATAGTCGCGGTAAAAATGCATTATGTTAAACGTGACTCAATACTCTGACCAAATGAAATTAGGAAGTGCCCTGTATTCACCAGAATAGTCGCGGTATAAAAGCATTATGTTAAGCGTGACTCAATACTCTGACCGAATGAAATTAGGAAGTGCCCTGTATTCACCAGAATAGTCGCTGTAT